CAGCCCCTCTACTATTTTCCATGCATAAATTATTATGTATCTCTCCCACCTGCGCTCAAGAGAATACAGATTTAGGCTCTTTAGTTGGTCCCAATAGTTTAGATGTTTTACCGAGTGGATTCTAGCAGTAAAGAATCTCTGCATGCTCTCCAGGTCAGCAATTTCTCCAGCTTTGAAAAAGGCTGTCATTATGCAGCAGTATTCCACTCTGGAAAGCACTAACATCTTGAAAAGTATCATCGGTATAGCATCTCTAGTGTGAAAGGTTCTTGTTATCCAACCTGTCATTTTTCTTGCAGTTGAGACAGCAACTTTATTGTGTTCTTTAAATGTAAGGTCTTCCAACATCAGTACACCCAAATCCTTTACATTGCCTTTCCGTTCTATGTTATGATTTGACAGCATTTTGTACATGGTTATTATATTTTCATTTTTTCCATAGTGCTTGAGCTGGAACTTATCATCGTTAAACACCATATTATTTTCTGTAGCCCATAGAAAGACCTGATTTACATATGATTGGAGGTTTCCTGTGTCCTCTGTTGTCTACTCTTATAAAAATCCTAGTGTCATCTGCAAAGGATGATACAGTACTATAGGTTGTGTCCTTGTCTATGTCCGAATATAAGGATGAGAAAAATTACTGGAGCAAGCACAGTACCCTGGGGGACTGAGCTCTTTATGGTTGATGATCCGGATTTTATTTTGTTGACTATTACACATTGGGTTCTGTTAGTCAGGAAATTGTAGATCCATCTGCCTATTTTTCCTGTAATTCATTTTGAATGCATTTTATGTGCAATAACACCATAGTCACATTTATCAAAAGCTTTTGCGAAATCTGTGTAAATTACATCAGTGTTTTGTTTGTCTTCCATGGCATCTAGTGTCATGTCGTAGTGGTCCAGCAACTGTGATAGGCAAGAGTCCCATGTTCTGAAAAAATGTTATCCGGGGTTATGGAGATGCTGTGATTCCATGTGTTGAACTGGAGAAAGTGAGATTCTCCCTATTTCTGTGATTCCATGTATTTTGTGATCTTACTTCTTAGCACACACTCAAAGATTTTTATGATGTGTGATGTTAGTGCTATCGGCCTGTAATTTTTTGCCTATGCCTTATTTCCTCCTTTATGGAATGGCGCTATCTCTGCTATTTTTAATATGTCAGGGATAATGCCAGTATCTAGGCTTTATCTCCAAAGAATGTGAAGGAGCTGCAATAGCGTTTTTTTACAGTTCTTGAAGAATATAGAGTTCCAAGACTTGGGGCTGGTGCAGAGTGTATAGGCATACTGTCTATGGCTTCTTCAAAATCCAGTGGGGATAGAGTCACATCTGATATATGATTTGATGTTGGTATCATATCCATGAAAAATTCATTTGGGTTATCAATCTTCAGTGTGTTTAGTGGCTCGCTGAAAACAGTCATACTGATTCCTCAGTATTTCCCTCATTTCTTTGTTGTCATGTGTGACAGTTCCATCTCCCTTTTGCAGGGGCCCGATACTAGATGTGGTTTTTATCTTGATTTTGCATAGGAGAAAAAATATTTTGGATTTCTCTCTATTTCACTGATGGCCTTTTGCTCTCTTGGCCTCTCCTGGGTTTTGTATGATTCTTGTAGCTTTAGTTTAATTGTTTCTATTTCTCTACCTAATCTTCTTCGCCATTCTTGAGATAGGGTGTGACTCTCAAGTTGTTCCACAATTCGTTTTCTTCACCTTTAGAGGGAACGACGTTCCCGTTCCAATCTGCATCTCTTCCTCTTTTTTTTCTTGGGGTATGCGGTTTGAACATATTTCTAGTGCTACTGATCTTATTTTTTCCAGGCACTGGTTCAGGTTTGCATTTTCTACCTGTTCTTCCCAGCTTATTTCTGTGAAGTTTTGGTTTATTGCTCACAGTTTATCTGTTTATTATTGAAGTTGAATTTGCTGAAATCTCCTCCACTGGGAATCGGGACTGGTTTTGAAGGTCTATTCCCCATGCTTGTCAGAATTTCAATTAAGTTGTGATCTGAGTAACAGGTATTTGTAATCATAATGTTCCTGATCAATTCATCATTATTAGTGAAAATGAGGTCCAGCGTGTTCTCCATCCTAGTTGGTTCTACTATTTGCTGGTTTAAGGCAAACCTGTCACACATCCATAGCAGGTCATTTGCATGTGCCTGTTCATTTAGGCTACTTCCCCGAATTCTCTCTGATACAACTATCAGCTATGGTCTTCCATTTCAGGTGCCGTATGTTGAAGTCCCCAAGCAGGATGATGTTTGGGGCTGGATTTGTGAGGTTTTCCCAAGCAGTCCTCTATTTTCATTAGTTGGTCTTTAATGCTGATGATTTGCCTTCGGTGACTTATATACAAGGACAATAACTACATTTAAGATCCCTATTTTGATTATTAGCACTTCCACCATATCATTTGTGGTGTTTAGCAGCTCAGTATAGATGAGTGTGTCCTTGGTGTACAGGCTGACCCCACCTTGTAGCCTGTGTTTCCTGTCACATCTGAAAAGATTGTACTCCGAAATCCATATTTCACCATCATGGTAGTCCATGGTGTGAGTTTCCATTAAGGCTGCAAACGCTGCATTTGCCTCATGTAAAAAGCCATCTATGAAGTGCACTTTGTTACATTTGCATGTTTTTATACCTTGAATGTTATAAAAGCATATAATGGCTTTTTGGTGCTTTTCGCTTCCTTTCCCCTCTGACATTAATCAGGTTCTTTTAGTGTCTGTGGCTCCTTTGGGTGCTCACTACCTGTTGTGTCCCCTTGTGCGTACAAACATACGGACGTAAGTACAGTGGACCTGCGGAGGGCCTATTGGCCCGTGCGAGGTAGCTACTGTTTCTTACCATCCATTCCCACTCACATACATGTCCAACCCGCCCTTGCACTAATCGTGGGGCCCCACCACAACGTTACGTGTTAATTGGTTCAGCGCGTCACCGGGCCTATTACAGTGCAGGTCATTCCTCCGGTCTTTCCTGATTCTGCGCTTATCCCTTTTATGCCCGTTGTTTCGTGCCCACAATGTGCCGCAAGGGTGGCTTGAGCCACTATCCCGGTTTATATTGTTTCGTGGGGATTGGTCAATAAACACAAACACTAAAGAACTACTTATCTTTTGTTGCGTATTCAGTAGTTGCGGGTGATATTTTGGCGCTCTGAGTGTCAGTACGGTGTCTTGCATGTCTGTTCTGGACCACACTTGCAGGTAGTCTCGTTATTCTTCGCTACTCTGCTGGTTATATGCTTGGGCGCCGCCTCACAGTTCTCCACAGGTTGGCAGGACTTTTCCTTGGACGTATGGAATGGTTTGAGTTCCATCGTTGGTGGTTTGGAGAGCTTTGCTTCTCTGGTTAGGCTCACGCATTTGGAGCGAGTATCTTCTTGGGATACTCTACTCACTCCGCCACCCTTGTTCACTGTTCCATCCTTGTTTACTCTTCCCCGCTTGGCGGGATTGCGTCGATGGCTCCTGACTGGGGTGTTTGGTGTGGTGTTTGGTCACCTTGCATGTGTCTTTAGTGCCTTTTTTGTCCATCTTTTGTTCTTTGTTGTCCTGTGGGGCTCTGCCCCACATTTTGGTGCTTTTGTTTTTGTTGTCGACCCCTGGGTTTTTTCCCCTGTCTGGATACTTTCCTTGCCTATCTTCTGTGCCTGACTGCACCCTGCTGTCCGGTAGGTCCCTCAGGTATGTACGCGCTCCTCTACACATTTTGTGGTTGGTTGTGTGCGTTACTTCCCGGCCGCTCCTTGGGCCGTATTCGTGGTTTCCTTACTTATTTCAGTTTTTCCTCCCCATGCTACACTTTTTGTGTCTGGGTCAGTGCTTCTTGGTTATCCTGTTTGGTGCTCCAGTGGGCCTCTGCCCATGTTCCCCGGTAGGCAAGAACTCCTAGCACTTTGATTGATGCCAGAAAGTTATACATATCCATTCAGCCTGGATAGCTCCGGGGAGCCTCCGGGACTCACCCAGAAAATGGCGTTTCATTACATTCAACGCTGGTTTTTTTCGAGATGGAATCTTTTTACAGAACCCCTACACCTGCAGGAGTGTTAAATCTTATGCTGTACAGTAAGCATCTAAAAAAAAACAAGGTTGCAATGTGTAGTTAAAGAGTTAAGGCCAGATTTTGGTTCTGGTCCCAATAGGCTCTCATGAATTGTCGAGCGGTCTGGCATACCTGGTTGATACCTGGTTGATGGGGTTCTGGGAGTTCTTCTACTCCCCAAGCCCAGCCCGAGGCCAGGCTCGACTTGTGAGAGTTTGGTCCACCAGGCTGTTGCTTGGAGCGGCCCGCAGGCCCACATACCCACCACAGCCCGGTTGGTCCGGCACTCCTTGGAGGAATAAATCTAGTTTCCTCTTGAAAATGTCCACGGTTGTTCCGGCAATATTTCTTATGCTTGCTGGGAGGACGTTGAACAACCGCGGACCTCTGATGTTTATACAGTGTTCTCTGATTGTGCCTATGGCACCTCTGCTCTTCATTGGTTCTATTCTACATTTTCTTCCATGTCGTTCACTCCAGTACGTTGTTATTTTACTGTGTAGATTTGGTACTTGGCCCTCCAATATCTTCCAGGTGTATATTATTTGATATCTCTCTCGTCTTCTTTCTAGTGAGTACATTTGGAGGTTTGTCTGGAGGCATGTCTAAAGGTTTGGATGATTCTATATTGTAGCACATTGGAGCTATTTACAGCCCATCAGAAAAGGACATTTTGTTACATTACTGCCAAATTTCTTTTTCCACTCCCAGTGAGAAATGTTTTGAAAAATAACAAATATATATGAATTGAGGAAATGACACAACTGGAAAAGTTGGCTAAAATTCTTGGTGTGATAGTCTGGATGTAGTGAATTAAGAAAAAGGATTTACCATTAGCGTACCTAAAAAATAAAAGTTTATTTCTTTAGCTGTTCGTCTTAATTTTTGTTGTTGTTACAGGTTACAGGTATTTTTAATTTCCATTCCATTCCAGGTGTCCCTTTATGAACGAGAATATCAATGAAATAGTTGAACATCTTACTCCCAGGGAAAGGTTTAATCACCTCCATGATATATCAGAAAAATTAAATAGCTTCAAGGAGTGTGTGAAACTTAATGTAATGGTTGCAAAGAACAAAGCCAAAGTACAGGTAAGTGCCAGTGAGACAGTGAGAGAGTGATGAGTGAGTGAGTGAGTGAGTGAGGGAGCAATAGTGAGAGAGGGAAAATGCAATAGTGATTGCCTAAGTGTAGTTACAGGATGAAAATTTTTCTCATGGTGTCCCGTCTTCCTAGCACTCTTTACCATATAATGCTTTGAAACTACTGACGGTTTTGGCCTCTACCACCACCTCACCTAACTTGTTCCAACCGTTTACCACTCTACGAAAGGGAATTTTCTTATATTTCTTCGGCAGATTTGTTTAGTTGGTTTAAATCTACAACGTCTTGTTCTTGAAGTTCCAGGTCTCTGGAATTCTTCCCTATTAATTTTATAGATTACCATTACTATTTTGTATGTAGTGATCATATCATACCCCCTTTTTCTTCTATCTTCTAGTTTTGACATATTTAATGTCATTAACCTCTAACTGTAGCTCTTGTCCTTCAGATCTGGGAGCCATTTAGTTGCATTTCTTTGCACCTTTTCCAGTTTGTTGATGTGCTTCTTAACCCTTTAACAGTGCAAATTGTATATAGACAATTTTGGTCTAACTGCCTGCACTACACACATTATACATGTACATTTAGAGTACCGTGTAAGATTTAAAAGTCTCTCCTCTACATGGGGTTCACATCAGCTTCCTCAGGGTCCTAGTAAATAGACACCATTTATAAAAAAAAATTCATGGTAAGATTCCCGAGTGTGAAGGGCTCAGTTCAGTACAACCTGGATTCAATCTATCCCGATTTGGGAAATCTTCAGCTAGTTGCACACTTCCAACTGGATTTACTCACCTGATTCGACAAACAATGGTTTGCCGAAGCGAAGGATGTGCGGATTTGCTTACGATGTTGGGACAGAGTTCGCTGACTGGTGGAAAACTATCTATTCTGTCACAGGTTATAATTAATAATTCTTTCATATGACAAGTTGGATCACACAAGTGGACCACACAACAAGTGAACCATATTAACTAAACTTCAGCCAGAGTGATCTGCACAGCAAGTGAACCATATTAACCCTCAAACCGCGCATATCATATATAAATGATATCAGTGACAAAACCGAAACCGCGCACATCATTTATACTGTACTTTTAAATCTTACGTGGTACTCCCAACCAACCAAAAATACATAGCTGTGGTGTGCAGTCCTGCAATTAATTTCAAATTCAAATTCAAATTTTTATTCAGGTAAAAGTACATTCATAGATTATGAGTTACAAACATAATATTGGATTTATAGATAGAGCTAGTACATACAATATATAAAGCCCGGTTTATTGCACGGTTTAAGGGTTAACGTGTTGTTACAGGAATGTTTCCTGGAAAATGTTTACAAATCTCCAGGTCCAAAAGTCCTCTGTTCTTACTTCATAAATAGTGAGAGAGCGAGTGAGCAATAGTGAGAAAGCGAGTGAGTGAACAATAGGGAGAGCGTGAGTGAGCAATAGTGAGAGAGCGAGTGAGCAATAGTGAGAAAGTGAGTGAGTGAACAATAGGGAGAGCGTGAGTGAGCAATAGTTTTTTTTTTTTTTTTTTTTTTTTTTTGAGATATATACAAGAGTTGTTACATTCTTGTACAGCCACTAGTACGCGTAGCGTTTCGGGCAAGTCCTTAATCCTATGGTCCCTGGAATACGATCCCCTGCCGCGAAGAATCGTTTTTTCATCCAAGTACACATTTTACTGTTGCGTTAAACAGAGGCTACAGTTAAGGAATTGCGCCCAGTAAATCCTCCCCGGCCAGGATACGAACCCATGACATAGCGCTCGCGGAACGCCAGGCGAGTGTCTTACCACTACACCACGGAGACTGTAAAGAGTGAGAGAGCGAGTGAGCAATACAGTAGTGAGAAAGCTATTGAGCAATAGTGAGAGAGCGAGTGAGCAATAGTGAAAGCAAGTGAGCAATAGTGAGAGAGCAAGAGAGCAATTGTGAGAGAGCGAGAGCAATAGTGAGTGTGAGAGCAATAATAAGAGACAGAGATCAATAGAGTGAGACAGAGAGTGAGGGGTGGGAGGGAGGTGGGCAACTTTGTGGTGGTTGTCTACTATAAATATTGCCTTCCTGCATAAAATGCAGATTAGACACAATGACCACAACAACACAAAAATTAATATTTAGTGTAATGTATCAACCCGTTCTCGCAAATTTAATAAGTCAATATTGACTTATTAAATATGTGCATAGGTGACATACTTAACATAATAGATACCCTTAAAAAGATTCATAGAAAACACCAACCTTACCTAACCTACTTAGTATGTTAAGATAAGCATCTTATTGCTTCGTAATTACAATTATTACCTAACCTATAATAAATATAGGTTAAGTAATAATTGTAATTACGAAGCAATTAGATGCTTATCTTAAGATACTAACAAGGTTAGGTAAGGTCGGTGTTTTCTATGAATCTTTTTAAGGGTATCTATTATGTTTAGTATATCACCTATGCACGTAGTTAATAAGTCAATATTGACTTTACGAATTTGCGAGAACGGGTTGAATGTATATATAAAATACTTTGTATACTACTGTGCTGAAATTGTTTGAAAGTTAAATTAAATTTTTTCCAGGTTCGTTTGCTGAGTCGTGCAGAATGCACCAACTGTGGTCAGCAAGTTCCTTTGGATGTGGATAGCAGTGACCAACTTGCCTTACATTATAACTGGTGTAGAAAATTAATAAGTGATGATAAATATATTTCATGCCCATATTGTAATGAATTAGTCCACCGTGGTAGCATTAAAAAGCATCTCAATGTAAAATCAAAGAAACAATGTACTATGAATATAACTTCAACTCTTCAACTAATGTCATGTGTGTGTAAGCAATATTCTGTAGAGCACCGACCTGTGTGTGTTGTATGCAATGAAAAGTGTTGGTCTTATTTAGGGCACAGAATGGAATTAAATCCAGTTTGTGAAGGTTGCAGGATAAACATAATTAGTGGAAACACCACAAAATTAAAGAATAGAGATTTGGCTGCATGTGCAATATGTAGTTATCAATGTTCTAAGAAATGTGTTACTTACTGGGCTAGTGAACTAGAGGCAGTGTTCATTGGAGAAAACTGCATTAAAAAGTTGAAAGAACCATTAATACACAAGTCAATATCAGTTGCAGATGCTATGGAAGCTAAGATTAGAAAACTTATAGAGATGGCTGTAGCATCTGAACAATTTAGCATGGACCTTGAGAGAGCACAAGCTAAAAATATATCTACTTCTGTGGAATGTTTGACTGAAAGCCATACTAGTAATTCAGACAAATATTCAAGTAATTTCACAAATACAGTGCAGGAAGCTAAAGATAAGAAAAATGTAATGAACTGCAATTTTAGCCAGAGTGAATCAGAAAAATCTATGGTAAAACATGATCTTCCAGTTCCGAGCAGAGTTACAAATGGACATTTTATCCCAATAACTGGATCTTTTAGAATAAATGCTGGTAATCCATTGCCATTTGCAAAATTGGCGACTACTTCAGATACTCAGAATCCACATAAGACTGTGCCAGTTACATCCATTTCTGCCCCAGCGGTGCCTAAAAGTAAAGTAGTTATCCAGAGTGATGTGTCAAAAAATTTTCTAAAAGCCGATTATACAGGAATTTGTCAAAAAATTGCTGAGGGCAAACTATCTATGAAGGTTTCACCTCATCGACCAAATCCTAAAACAATGTGTCAAGTCATTTCTAATTGCACCCCAAATAATGTTATCACAGAGCCTTTACCATTGAAATATGTTTTAAAACTGAACAGTTTGACACCTACAAGACAAGAAAAAAAGGATGATCAAAAAGAAGCAAATGCCAGTCACATAATTATCAGAACTTCATCAAATGCTTTTCAAATAAAAAGAAGCGACGTGGCTCCACCTAGGGTAGCCCTAGTAATTAAAACTGCTAACAATTTATTAATGAATGAGATTAAAAAAAAAGGAAAATTTCACAAGAGTGGCATGAAAGAAAGTTATGTCAAAAAATAAGACAGAAATAGTAACTTTGGATTAGAATTTGTTTGATGCAAGAATGCCACTCGTGTAAAAATTTTGTTTACCATAATTGAGTATACAGTGGCGCCTCGATTAACGAGTTTAATCCGTTCCAGCACCGAGCTCGTCATGTGGAAAACTCGTCTTGCGAAACAATAACAAAACTGTCGTTGGTGGTGTCTGAGAACCAGCGGGAACGCTCATTAATCGAGCGAAAGCTCGTCAGTCGAGACATATATTTTCTGCTAGTGGCTTGCTCGTTACGAGCATCGTTACTCAAAATGCTCGTAACTGGAGCCACTTGTCATTCGAGGTTCCACTGTATTATTAATGAGTAAATGATTGGTAAATGAATATGTAAAGTTTTTTTTTTTCCAAGGCTGAAACATCAGAACTAATTCAGATGTTGAATTTGATTTTATTTCTTTTTTTACCATTGAATTCTTAACTTCTTGAAAGAAATTAATATACATTTAGTACTTGCATTGATAACTGTATTTACATACATAGCATATGAGATATTATCAACTATATTTGTGCAGTCTATGTATTGGCTCAAATTCCTTGTATTCCTGTACGATAAGATTAGCATTAACAGCTTACATACACTTTTGTGATATTTTATATAATTAATTTTATGACATTCATGTGACAATGAAATTACCATGTTATATAAAGTTCCTTAATATGCTTGTTAATAGGCATTATGTATACATGAATTACTGTATATATTTATATGTAGTTTTATATAGCATTCATATTAGAATTAATTTTTCTAAGAAAGCAGTGTAATTTTAGTGTGATAAATTAAACATATGTATAATTTTATTTCCATACTTACCTAACAAATTTCTTGTAATGAAACCTGTTTCCAACATAGTGGGTTGTAAACCCTTTGGCTTGGATTCAGTTTTATTTGTCCCTATCTATACTAAGAATCGGACACTTCCTCAATGGCCTCTCTTGGTCTGGGTGAAGACGTGGATGTACAGCTCCCTGGGGCCTGTGGAGATACCTCCACAGAAAGAAAAGTCCAATATAATAACACTGGATGTTTTTTAGAGGCTGGCAGAAACAGAGAGGAACAGGCAGAAAGAAACATTGCAGGAGTAATGAACGAGTACAAATGGTGAGGTAGAAATGACCAAGACTGGACCTCAAGTCGTCATCAAGCGCGCACATACACCTACAAAGTGAGTCAACATAATTAACCCCCTTGTCACCTAGTGCAGGCTAGGTAACCAAAATCTCTTTGTTACACTGTTTTTAAATTAAATTTTAATTTAATTTATATTAGTCAATTAAGTCCAATAAATGAGTGCATTAATATTTTCTTTAGTTCTTATTAATTATAGGATCATAACTAAACTATTTATAGTTAATAATCATTAGATTAAATTTGCCTATGTTTATTATTCAACTTTTTTCTTTGCTTTCATTATTACCAAGGTTGCCTAGCCTCGCCATACTCCCTTACTCCATTGTACCCCTGGCTTTGCCTGTCTCAAAATGCAAATTATTACTTAGTGTACCTGAGAGTATAATGGGACCTCGACGTACGATACTAATCCGTTCCCAGAGACGGATCGTAAGTAGAAGCGATTTTTTCCATAAGAAATAAAGGGATATTGAATTAATCCGTTCCCCACCCTCCAAAATATTAACATACAAATACATTTTATACTGAATACAATGCTTTTTTCTAACTACAATACAGTACCAAAGTTTCTCTTACCTTTATGGAGGGTTCTAGATGGAAGATGGTGATGAGGGGGGAGGAGGAGAGTTGTTACTGTTTGGAAGGAAAGTCCCCTTCCATTATCACATCAGGCAGTGATGTTTTCTCTGGGGTACTCTCTCTCCTACGTTTTGCCTGAATACCACTAGGACCTGGTTGTGGTTCGGTGCTTGTTTGTCTCGCTACATATTTGTCAAGAGACATTTGTTTTTTCCTTCGTTTTAACATGTGTCTGTAATAATGCATCAGTGTCATTGAATAGGTTAAGGCAACGACCTACTGCAGCTTGATTTGGGTGAGTCGTTTCAGCAAAGGTTTGCAGTTCTTCCCATGCTGCACACATTTTCTTAATTGTTGAGGAAGAGACATTCTGTGCTGGCACATCCTCCCCTGAAGAAATTTCCTCGGCTACCTCTTCTTCCCCACTTGCATTACCACACAACACAAGAGTAAACCGATCTTTCATAGGCTTGTGTCCAGGCAATGACTGCTCCTCCTTGGTAATGTATGTTTTCTTTGGCAATCTTTTCCAGAATAGTCCTGTCTCGTCACAACATCTAGAAGTCTGCTGATTTTATTGGATGATCCATAGATGTGTGGCTCCTCTTGCATGATAGTATGATGATAGATGGAATTACTGGTGTCAATTTCACTTTGCCTCAGATCTACAAGATCTTGTTGAAGTTCTCGGTGTACTGCTGCTCTCAGATTGCTCAATGACAATCCAAGGTTACACTCAACGGCTCCTTTAAAGGCAGATTCTTTGGCTAACTTATCAGCTCTATCATGCATTCGGAGGCCAACATGAGATGGAGACCACATGAAATGGACTCTGTTACCATCCTTAATAATTTTGTTGTATTTGTGTCTAGCTTCGGACACGAGCATGTTACAGTTATGTCTTAAAGAGTTGAGAGCATTTAAGGATGATAAGGAGTCACTTACAATTAATGTATCAAGTTTGGAGACTTGTACACATTTCAGTGCAAGGATCAAGGCAAATAGTTCGGTCTGAAGGGTAGAGGCCCAATTGTTTATACGGACTCCCCACTCAAAGTACAAGCCATCGCCCATTGTCAGAACAACTGCACTTCCAGCTGCACCCGTGGTGCGGTGTAGGGAACCATCAGTGTATATGATTTGAGAGAGAGAATGCTCTGTGGACAGAGCATCAATATGGCTTAAGGCGTTGAGCTTTGCCTCAAGACGAAGCTTGGGCTGATCTCTAATTTGCTCCTAGGGTGGAAAGGGAGGGATTAAAACTTGAAAGGGTGTAACCTCCCACGGTGCAGGAAAGTGCCATTGTTGTTTCTCTTGGTACAAATCATGAACCTGATACATTCTGAGTTGAGTTCCAGTTTTTGTTATCCATTTGGAACAATGCTGATTTTCAATAAAAAAATTCTGGAGGGCTTCTGTGCAAGGATTAGGATGAGTTAGCCTAAGCATTTTTATACCAATTTGACAGTTAATTTCAGTAACACGATCAACAACGCTCAGAATATTAAGTTCCTTTCTCATATTAAGTATCTTTGTGGTACGAGGGCACCCAAGGATTATCCTCAAGGCTTTGTTCTGCAATTTTTCAAGCCCTCCAAGCTTTCTTTCAGGCATCAAAACAAGCAGAGGTGCAGCATAATCCACTAAAGATCTGATGTATGCAAGGTACATAATTTTGACAATTCTGACATTGGCACCATAGCCTGAGTGATAACCTGCAACAGCCTTGAGAGCTCGGAGTCTATAAACTTAAAGCCAGATATTGAACATTTTTTACTGACGTTACTGGACTATCTTACAGGTAACTATCCACAGTCTGTACCTAAAGCCTATTAATTCCACTGACATCAATGAGATAATCCTTTCCCTTAAAACCAAGTCTAGTGCCCTTGAGGAGATACCAACTTTAATTTACAAAAAAGCCTCCAGATCTTTAGCCCCTGCTATTGCATTGCTCTTCAACAAGTCACTTGAACTCCAAACCTTTCCAGATATTCTAAAAAAAGCGAGAGTAACGCCTGTCTCACAAATGTGGTGATCTCACAGATGTTAACAACTACAGAGCCTATATCAATCCTGCCAAACTTGTCAAAAATTGTTGAAAAACTAATCTATAAGCAGCTTTACTCTTATCTAGCCAAACACAATATACTTCAACCCGTTCTCGCAAATTCGTAAAGTCAATATTGACTTATTAACTACGTGCATAGGTGATATACTAAACATAATAGATACCCCTAAAAAGATTCATAGAAAACACCGACCTTACCTAACCTTGTTAGTATCTTAAGATAAGCATCTTATTGCTTTGTAATTACAATTATTGCTTAACCTATACCTATTATAGGTTAGGTAATAATTGTAATTACGAAGCAATAAGATGCTTATCTTAAGATACTAACAAGGTTAGGTAAGATCGGTGTTTTCTATGAATCTTTTTAAGGGTATCTATTATGTTAAGTATGTCACCTATGCACATATTTAATAAGTCAATATTGACTTATTAAATTTGCGAGAACGGGTTGTATACTTAGCCCTTGCCAATATGGCTTCAGACCCAAAAAAAGCACTAACGATGCACTTATTAGTATGCTTAACTCGATTCATACAGCTCTTGATAAAAATGAGTTCCCGGTTGGGTTATTTGTGGACCTGCGTAAGGCTTTTGACACTGTCAACCACCAAAACCTTCTTCTTAAATTACATCATTATGGAGTCAGAGGACACTCCCTGCAATACCTCAAATCCTACGTTACTGACAGGCCTTACTTACTACCAGTATGTTTCTGTGAATAATTCAATTTCTCCCACCCTACCCATCAACATTGGTGTTCCTCAGGGCAGCATACTTGGCCCTTTCCTCTTTCTCATCTACATTAATGACCTTCCAAATGCCTCCCAACACCTCAAACTAATTCTATTTGCTGACGACACAACCTTCATTTACTCCAATCATGACCCCCCTTGCTCTAAATGCCACAATAAATACTGAACTAAATAAAGTCCATCTTTGGCTAACTGCCAACAAACTCACCCTTAACATTGACAAAACTTTCTATATTCTGTTTGGCAATAAATCCTCTAATCAAATAAATCTCAAAATAAACAATACCCAAATTTGTAACAAATTAGATGGCAAATTCCTTGGCATTCTCATTGACCACAAGCTGAATTTTCAAGGACACATTCTAAATATATCAAAAAAAGTTTCAAAAACTGTTGGCTTTCTTTCTAAGATCGGATATTATGTACCCCGCCCTGCCCTGGTGACTCTCTATTACTCCCTCATCTATCCATATCTCAACTATGGTATTCTCTTTATGCTCAATTAGTATTAAGCTTTAGTCATTTAAGTTTTTCATGCCCGAAACGCTTTGCGTAATAGTGGCTTTAGGCATTGTATGTACTAGCCCTATCTATAAATCCATCACTCTTTGTAAAATCTCTTGTATGTATGTACCTTACCTAAATAAACATTTGATTTGATTTGATTTTATGTTTTTATTGGGGGCCGGGCCTATCTGATCTCCGCTAAATTTGATACTTCCTGATTCTAACTGCTGGCCTTATCATTAATACTCTATACCCCTCATAACAGCAGATAATTCATAACAGCCTGTAAGTGGAGGCCCTTTTGAGCCATTGCCAGTGGAGATACTGGAGATCTGTGGAGGTGCGACTGCACCCTGCGTGACGGGAGATGTCTCCCGTGGACCAAATGGATTGATGAAGATTAAGCCACCCAAAGAAAAGCCTTTGATACTGTTAATCACAACTACCTCTTAAACTCCAGCATTATGGAATCCGAGGCCTTGCCCTTGACTACATCCGATCCTATCTTATTGACAGACACCAATATGTAACCATCAATGATACAACTTCTTCCACTCTACCAATTACCGTTGGAGTGCCACAGGGCAGTATCTTAGGACCTCTTCTATTTCTTATATATATAAACGATCTGCCTAATGTCTCTAATATTCTCAAACCTATATTGTTTGCTGACGATACTACCCTTATCTATTCAGACCTCAACCCACATACACTAAATAATGTGAATAATGAATTAAAAAAAGTCCACTTATGG